CCAAGTAGCCGGAACTACAGGCACGTGCTACCACGCCCGGCTAATTTTTTGATTTATTGTGGAGATGAGGTCTCCCCAAGTTGCCCAGGCGGGTCGTGGACCCGCGGGCTCAGGCAATCCACTCACTTCAGCCTCCCAAGGTGTGGGATTACAGGCTGAGCCACCGAGCCCAGCTTGATTGTTTTATTTTGTATAGAGACATGGTCTCACTATGTTGCCCAGGCTGGTCTCAAACCCCTGGGCTCAGGCAGTCCTCTCGCCTCCACCTCCCAAAGTGCTGGGATTATAGGTGTGAGCCACTACACCCAGCTGCGTAGATCATTTCTAAAAATACCTTCTTCCTCTATGCAACAATATTTTCAGTAATAGCTGTGGTTTTGGTTAATTTTTTGGTTTTGACAAAATTCACAAATAAAAGGAGAATACATTTCAATTATGAAGATATTGTTTGAATTCAGTAGAGGGTTTTACATAGGAGTTAAAAATTACACTTTCCAAACAAAAATATGACACCCTGCAGCTTGCACCCTGCTTCACTGCTTGATGCCTGACACAGCCTCTTGTTTTTCTTTACAGCAGGAAAAAAAAATGCACATGGGTTATACACACACACATGCTTGTAAGTACAGATAACATTTTGTCAAAAATATGAACGTTATTGACCAGGCATAGTGCCTTATGGATGTAATTCCAGGACTTTGGGAGGTCAAGGCTGGAGGATCGCTTGAGGCCAGGGGTTTGAGAACAGCCTGGGCAACGTAGTGAGACCCCATCACTAAAAAAAGATTAAAATTAAAATAAATTAGCAGGTGTGGTGCATGGGTAGCTAATTATAGGTGTGCACCTGTAATCCCAGCTACTTGGGAGACTGAGGCAGAAGAGTCACTTGAGTATAGGAGTTTGAGGTCTCAGTGAACTGTGATCACTCTATTGCACTCCAGTCTGGAGGACAGAGCAAGAACCTGTCTCAAAAGAAATAGATAGGTATATACATACGTATATATGCATAAAATGCAAAGTCAAATATCAGGAATTTGAGATAAATTCTCTCCTTCAAAAAGCCCCACCTTACTTGAGAACATCAAGCCAGCTGGGCATGTGGCTCAAGAGCCTGTAATCCTAGCATTTCAGGAGGCAGAGGTGAGAGGATTGGCTGAGCCCATGGATTTGAGACCTGCCTGAGCAACTTAGCGAGATCTCGTCTCTACAATAAATCACACACACACACATACACACACACAAAGAGTCAGGCATGGTGGCACATGCCTGTAGTCCTAGCTACTTGGAAGGCTGAGGCAGAAGGATCAACTGAGCCCAGCAGGTCGAGGCTGTGGTGGCCGTGATTGTGCCACTGTACGCCAGCCTTGGCAACAGAGACTCCGGCCCCCCCCCCGCCAAAAAAGAGCATCAAGTTAGAACTTCCAATGACCAACAGTGAGACTGGTTCATTTCTCTGATGACTTCATGTCACTTTGTGGACAACAGACTTTCAGTGGGGTTTGTCCTTATCAAACTCCCCATTCATTCACGCAGGCTACCTGGTGCCCATCTGAGCGAGGCCCTGGTCACTTCAAGCCTTCAGATAGCTGGCCTCCCTGGAAATCACTAAGGAACATTTTATGGCTTCTCTTTGGATTTTCTAAGGCTGTGCCACCGCCTCCACAGTGGCTGGCACTGGGTTGGGAGGTCTTGGGGGAGCCCCTTTCCAGCTGGTCTTGATATTTAATCCCACAGCCCTGGAACTTCTGGCCAAGTCTAACAGGAGGAGCCACCACACCTGAGAGGGACCCCTCAGCGTCTGAATCAGGAGCCAGTGTTAGGGCTGCAAAAAAGCTCTCCAGAGACCCAGAGGAAGGGGAGACCTTTAGAACAGCATATATGCACTTTAAAAGTACACAGTAATAAAGTGTGTAACCAGAGGTCCACAGGAGGTGGGAACTTATGCATACAAGTCAAAAGTCTACATGCCCTTCAGTCCCGCAACTTCCCTAGAATTTATGCTCACACACACCCAGAAATGTATGTGAAGGATATTTGTTGCACTGAACATGATGCTACAGGAGAGAGCCTAGGCTCCAAAGACTGTTTCCTATATGTTTTCTTTTTTTTTTTTTTGAGTTGGAGTCTCACTCAGTCGCCCAGACTGGAGTGCAGTGGCCGCTCGACCAGCCTCGACCTGCTAGGCTCCGGGAATCCTTCCGCCTCAGCCTTCCAAGTAGCTGGAACTATAGGTGCGTGCTACCACGCCCGGCTAATTTTTTTTTGATTTATTGTAGAGATGAGGTCTCGCCAAGTTGCCTGGGCAGGTCTTGGACACGCGGGCTCAGGCAATCCACTCACCTCAGCCTCCCAAAGCGCGGGATTACAGGCTGAGCCACTGTGCCCGGCTATATGGTTCCTTTTATGGGGCATTCGTGGGGACAGAAGGCCCCATTGGTGGCAGGAGATGAGACCAGGGAACTTCCTGGGGTAATGACAATATCCTAATCTTGGCTGTAGGTGGTGACCTCGTCAGGACTGTGTGCCGAGGAGGGTGAATTTCACCATGTGAAAATTGTACCTTGATAACCCTAACTTGAAGAAATTGTGTGTGGAAAGATGTGCTGATTGTAGTGATGTCTGCACTAGCAACAGCCAGGGAACAATGTAAATGCACAGGCTGGTGAAAGAGATAATGGGCTGGGTGGTGGCTGACGCTTATAATCCGAGCACTCTGGGAAGTTGAGGCAAGAGGAGTGCTTGAGTCCAGGAGTTTGAGACCAGCCTGGGCAACATGGTGAGACCTCGACTCTAAAAAATTTTTTTAAATTAGCCAGACGTGATGGCGTGTGCTTGTAGTCCCAACTCCTCAGGAGGCTGAAGCAGAGGGATCACCTGAGCCCAGGAAGTCGAGGCTGAGGTGAGCCCTAATTGGGCCACTGCACTCTGGCCTGGGCAACAGAGTGAGACTCTGACTCAAAAAACAAAACAAACAAACAAAAATATATATCTGTATAATGGAGTGCTATGTAGCTACTAAAAGGAAGGGACCAGCCAGGCGTGGTGGCTCATGCCTGTAATCCCAGCACTTTGGGAGGCCGAGGAGAGAGGATTGCCTGAGCCCAGGGGTTTGAGAACAGCCTGGGCAGCCTGGTGAGACCTCATCTCTACAATAAATCAAAAAAATTAGCCAGGCGTGGTGGTACATGCCTGTGGTTCCAGCTACTTGGAAGACTGAGACGGAAGGATCGTCTAAGCCCAGCAGGTGTATACACACACACACACACACACACACACACACACGAAGGATGCCAAAAAAAGTATATACAAGAAGGGAAAAAACTGCATTAAAGTTGTAATACTCAGTATATACCGAAAACAGAAGATGAATACAAGCCAGTTTGACTTCTGCGATTACAAGAGGTGCTCAAAGTGGTTCCCATCAGCGTCCTGATGACATGAACAGCTTCAGGACTCACGTAGGACAACTCTCCTGAGCCTCACTGCTTCCACTGAGTTAAGACATTTGAGATTCTCTCGTGCTGTTTTGAGCAGTACTGCCACGTCCATGGTACAGGTGGACCATTTTGATGCCACACTGGGGACAGAGGAAGAAAGAAAACAACTAACCTTGGCCAAACTGGCCCTGAGCAGATGGAGTTTTCTGGGGGACCACATTCATTGTTCCCCTGCAGGGCCAAGTTAGGTCTGGCAAGGCGAGCCAGTTGTAGTAGAAAGAAAAAGGGTCACTTCTAGCATCCAAATCCATGGGTAGTGAAACTCACGTTTACTTTGTTGGTTTTTGTTTCTGTCTTTTATTTGTGTTTTCGTTTCTACAATATTGGCCAGTGAAGGAGCAAGGACCCCACTAGAAGTCCCTGTCCCCAGGCTTTGTGACGCTAGTGTTGCGTCATAGAGGCTCTGTCCTGGGAGAAGCACTTTCACCTCTCCTGGTGATGTCCTTGCCCCCTTGGGCAGAGTTTTGCCCAAGTGGGACTTGATGGGGGAGGATGGAGTTTCTTGGGACCACTCAGACAGCCAGTTACTGCGGCCCCAAGAAGGGCTGTGGCTTGACCTCGCTGCCCCTGGCTGTGCAGGCCCCCGTGATCCAGGAATGCTACCAGCCCTACTACCTGCCCGGGTACCGCTACCTCAACTCATGGAGGCCCAGCCTCTTCTACAAGGTTTCCGACGCCCGGACCTGCCCGGAGGAGTGCCCCAGCGCCCTGCGGCCACCCACCGTACTGCCTGCCCTCCGCTCAGCTCTCTTCAGTCGCTATAGCCCCCGCGACTGGGATCGGTCCAACGACCTGCAGATGCGCGGGGCTGAGGCCTCCCGGCTGTGGGCTGGCCGGCTGATGGGTGACTCCATGAGGCTCATGCAGGACAAGGACCAGCTGACATGCCAGATGCAGGAGGGCACCTCGCGGAACCTGGGCCAGAGGCTGTCGGACATTGGCTTCTGGAAGTCGGAGCTGGGCTACGAGCTGGAGAGGCTCCTGACGGAGAACCGGAATGTGGACACTGTCAAGAAGCGGCTGGAGTATGCGGCCAATGAGGTGGACTGCCCGCTGCAGGTGAGTGCGGCCATGGGGACAGGTGTGGCTGCGATGCAGGGGCAGCACACGCGCTCCACTGCCCTTGACTGAAGGTCATGGCCACAGGCAGCTTGCATTGCCATAGATGATCAGTTTTTAAGGCAAAAATATAATCTTCATCGACTAAGGATGATCCCAGTCAAATCAGGGCTTCTCAGAGTGAATCAAATTTTTCTTTTCTCTTTGAGTGATGTCAAAGTTGCAGGGATTTCATCAAGAATTGTGGTGGCCGGGTGTGGTGACTCACACCTGTAATCCCAGCACTTTGGGACACTGAGGTAAGAGGAACGCTTGAGCCTAGGAATTCAGGACCAGTCTGGGCAACATAGTGAGACCTTGTCTCTACAAAAAAGCTAAAAAAAATTAGCCAGGAGTGGTGGCATGCACCTGTAGTCCCAGCTACTTGGGAGGCTGAGGGGGGAACATTGCCTGAGCCTAGGAGTTTGGGGCTATGGTGAGCTGTGATTGTGGCACTGTCCTTTAGCCGTGACAGAGTGAGACCCTGACTCCAAAAAAAAAAAAAAAAAGACATTGTGTGCATGCTTATGCATGTGTGTGTCCTGGCTCTTAGGGGACATACTTAAATAACTGCCTTATTTTTCTCCAAAATGTATTCTATAACTGATTGGTTGATTGATTATTTTGGTCCCTCCCTAGAATGTAGGATAGGCTTCATCAGGACAGAGATTTGTGTCTGCTTTGTCACTGATGTATTCAAGACCCATGTGGGTCCCTAGTGACCAGCATCTGTGCTGACTGACTGTTGTCTAGACCAAAGTTTTGAATGTATTACCAGTCCAGGACAGGGTGAGGTACATAGCAGGCATCCAATCAATAATGTCTATATGTGGATGTCCCGACCCTTCTGTGGTCTCCCAGGATCAGCCATATCCCGGGTCAGTTGGGACTGATTTGGGCTGCATGTAACAGACACTCCACAACTGCAGCTTGACCAAATGGGAATTTGTTTTTCTCTTATAACAAAAATTCCTCAACCTGATGCCAGCAGGGACCCAGGCTCCTCTCTTTCTGCCCTGCCACCCAGAGCACGTGACTTTCGTCCTATCGCCTTAGAAGGAGATCTCTTATTCATACTGCAAGTGCCTGCATGCAAGGAACCTCTTGACGTTGTCACTTGAGGCAGGAGCGGGGGTGGGGCAAAGAGCAGACGCCTCGAAGGGGCCTGTCCCGGTGTATCAGGGAATATCTGTTTTTCCAGAAGACCCCCTCCTGTGTTTCCATGTGTAGTCCATTTGCCAGAACTTGCACAAGCTCCCTGACTGCAAGCGTTTCTCACTGTGCCCAGAGAAAATCTCCGGAGGGCTTGAGAGGATGCAGTAAGGAGCCAGCAGCTCCCTCCTCGTGCTGTAGGAGCTGACCCTGCCCGCATGGGACTATCTTCTGTTTCTCCCCAGAGCTGAGGGGGCTTGGGGCCTCCTGTCTGGTAGCCCACTGCAGCTACTGGGACTTCTGCAGAAGAGGTTCTGCCTCTGAATTCTCCAGGAGACCTGGCATAGGCGCCCACCACTCTGGGATGTACAGCCCATGCGGGGGCCGGGGGGCGTGTCCATCGTTTCCCTGCCCCTCACCCCCAGATTCTCCCCTGGGAGTAGGGTGATGGGCTGTGTCTTAGAGGCTTGCAGCAGCACCCCAAACCTACTGTTCCCCCCTCCCGCTCTCCTCTCCGTCCCCTGGCCTGTCTGGACAGCTCAGCTCTGCCTGGTCACATGTGGTGTCCTCTGATCAGCCACATGGTGGCACAGGGACTGGAAACAGCTTAAGACTGTCTTCTGGGCTGCAGCCTCTCCCTGGACTGTGGTGGCCACCTCCTTCCTGGTCTCCAACTCCCCTCCCCTCTGACCCATGCCAGGGGTCATTTTAAATATTCAAACTCCCCCCATCCCTCCACAGCCTTCTGGAAGTTAACCTCTTAATTCCCTGTGACCTTGTTCCTGCTAGTGTCCAGCCAAATTTTCCCTGCTCTAGTCCCAATGGCTTCCTGCTTCTCCTCCGTAGACCTCAGGGCCTTTGCACCCACTGTTGCCTCCTCCTGGTACATTTTTCCCGCTCATCGCTGCAGCTCTACTTCTTATAATTAAGGCTGTAGTCTTTCTTCTTCTTAGGAAATTCCTTCCTGACCATTCTGCCTGTTACTCCCCACCCACCAGCTCACTCTGATGATCTTAATTGCAGCCCTCATTGTAATGGGAGATGATTGAGTTTATTTATGCGTTCTCTCCCCTCTGATAGAATGCAGCTTGCATGGCAGCGGGGAACCTGTTCACAGTACTGTCCCCAGCACCTTGGTGGAGCGGGGCTTAGTGAAAGGGCCCCATAAATCCCTGTGCAACGAGGCATACCTCCCTCTCCTTTCTGGGTTCATAGACGCCTTGGTATCCAGGCAGCCAGACCTCAGCACTCCACTTTCTTCCGTCCTGCTGCCCTTTGTGACATCACAGGCTGGTGGCCAATCACCACTCTTCCCCGTCTCCCATGGTGGAGACCCCTGGGCAGCCCTTTCTCCTGCCCCCTCTTCCACCCTCTCCAGGTCTCCACAGCAGTTGTAAGGTCCCAGGGTGATGTGGCAGTGTTGCCTGGTGTCACCTGGCCCTGACCACATTCCAAAGCTGTGCCCTCAATGGAAGACCTCCAAGGAGAGGCTTTCACGTGCACTCACTCAATGCTTACGTACAGTGCTCTGGACGCTTTTACACTTGTCAAGCTGACAACTGGCACAACACACCTGTGAGCATGCACAAGTATGCCATCCCTCTGCAGATGAGGAAACAGAGGGTCAGAGAGGTTATGTGACTTGCCTAAATGCACACAATAGGAAGAAGCTAAGTCTGGATTGAATTCAAGAGAGGCCAGGCTCGGTGGCTCAGCCTGCAATCCCAGCACTTTGGGAAGCTGAAGCTAGTGGATTGCCTGAGCCCACGGGTTCGAGACAAGCCCAGGCAACTTGGCAAGACTTCATTTCTGCAATAAATAAAAAATTAGCCAGGCATGGTAGCACACCCTATAGTTCCGGCTCCTTGGAAGGCTGAGGTGGAAGGATTGCCTGACCCCAGCAGGTCGATGCTGGGGTGGCTGTGAGTGTGCCACTGCACTCCAGCCTGGGCAACAGAGTGACGCTCCAACTCAAAAGAAAAAGAAAAAGAGAGGCTACACGGGACAGCAGCCTGTACCATCTTATCTGAAATTACAATGGAGTTTGACTCTGTTTATACATTTTTATTTATTTATTTTCAATTGCAGTTTCATTCTGTCACCCAGGCTGGAGTGCAGTGGCATACTCATGGCCACTGCAGCCTTGACCTGCTGGGCTCAGGCAATCCTTCCACCTCAGCCTTCCAAGTAGTTGGAACCACAGGCATACACTGCCATGCCCAGCTAATTTTTTGTTTTATCATAAAGATGAGGTCTTGCCATGTTGCTCAGGCTAGACTTGAACCCCTGAGCTCAGGTAACCTTCTTACCTCCACCTCCCAAAGTGCTGGGATGAGAGGCGTGAGCCACCGCGCCCGGTTTAGACTCTATTTGTTACTGTACCTTGGGAAGGCTTGAGGCTGCCGGTGGAGATTATGGAATCACAGTTGGTTCCCAGGACACTACTTTCTCTCTATGGGTCCTGCAGTCCCAAATGCCTTGGCCGTGGCAGCTCACAGATCCCACGGGGGGATAAGGGACCACAGAAGCCCACCTCATGCCAAGTGATGAGGTCACAGGAAGCACCTAGGTTTCTCTGAGAATGGAGCCTATCATGGCAAAGTGTGACATGCATCACCTCTGCTCTGGGTGTCCATGCATCTCAGGGAGCACACACTCTTTCCCGCTGTCCCCTGCAGGTGGCCCTAGAGTGCCTGTACCATCGAGAGAAAAGGATCGGGATTGATTTGGTCCATGACAACGTGGAGAAAAACCTTATCCGGGTAAGCTGCCTACTGGGTGTGCCCCGTCTCCTGAGGGAAGAGGGATGGCCAGCTGGTCAGAGAGTTTTCTGAACCACCTGTCGGGAGCAGAAGTCACATGTGGGAAGTTGGGCCTCAGAAAGCTTGGGAGGGTGCCTGGACTGCAGTTTCAGAACAGGGAGAAATGGAGTCATTTGACCTTCAATCTTTTCATCTCCAAAATGGGTGCAATCATCACACACCAATAACAATAACGAAAGCCAGTGTTTAATGTCCACCTGCTACAGGTCGTAGGCTGTACGACTTTACATGCATTGTTTACTGTGATGAAAAAATTATCTATACGTGAACACTTAGCACATCGCAGATGCTAACTTTTCCTTAAATTCGGAGGTATATAAAAAGAGAAAGGAGCGGGACAGAGAACAGGGAGCCTTGGCAGTTGACCCTGAGCTGTCTGGCCCTGGGTCACATGGACTGGGGCAGGAACCTCCACTCTGACATTTCACCTTGCCGGGTCAAGGGTGGGCAGTGAGGGTGAGGGGTAAGGCTCTGGCCCTGGAGACTATGAGTTTCTAAGGGGCATTACTTCTGACATTTTCCATTTCAGGAAGTAGATTTGTTAAAGTGTTGCCAAGAGCAGATGAGAAAATTAGCTCAGCGAATCGACATCCAGTTGAGGTAAGGGCTTCTTTCTCTCCTCTCACCTTGGGGTGTGTTTGGGGGCTCCCAGGTTTTGGGGACAAGCTAGATGGGCTCACTTGCTTCTGCGTGGTTCTTTTGCTCAGTGGTGTGCTGGTAAATGTTTAACAAACAGCTCTCCAGGAAAAAAAAGTCCGGATGTCCTGATGTGTAGAATTTGCTAATACCTTTGGTGTAAATGCTACCACAATGACTGATTTCAAGCTACCAATATGATGTTACTGAGAACTGATCTCATGAGCTGGCATGTTATTCTTGTAGGTCATGAGGGCCCTGGCAAAAGGGAACTGGCCTCTCTGAGACCTCTCTTGGCCCGTTCAAGTTCTGATCTTGGGAAATGGCAGGGGGTAGGTGGTATCAGGCAGCAAGGCCAGGGGCGGAGGCACCTGCAGACAGGAGCAGGTAGACGCCTTGAGCCAGGAGTCTTCAAAAGAAATCAGCTTTTTGTTCTCAGAAGATGAAGTAACCCGTATTGTGACAAGTCAGAAGGCCCCTCTCATAATTAAAGGGAGGCTTGTGTTTTACAGGGCTTGGGGCCTATAGCTAAACCCTTGGCCCCCAGCTCCCCCAGAGGCAGCCTTCCCATTTCGACCTGCAGTTGGCACTCACTTTGACTCCTCCAGGGCTCTCACTCTGATGTTCTTGGTTTACTCTTGATATAGAGATACAGACAGCAAGGAATGGGCCAATGGTCTGGCTGGGACTATCCTTCCAAATCAGCTCTGAGAGCTACTTTTAAAAAATATTTTATTTTATTTTAGAAACGAGGGTCTTGCTATGTTACCTAGGCTGGTCCCAAACTCCTGGCCTCAAGCAGTCCTCCCATCTCGGCTCCCACAGTGCTGGGACCACAGGTGCGCCGCCACACCAGACCTTTTCTGTCTTCCTCTCTTTCCTCTTTTCTCTCTTTCCTCCCTCCCACCCTCTCTCTCTTTCCCTCTCACTTTTTAGCTGTGGGAGCCCCTGTCCTGGTTTGCTGTGCCCCAGAAATAGCCATCACCTCCCCTCCAGGAGCCCTTGGAGTCCCCCGAGGAGGTTGGAACTGGGTGTCAGGGAGGAGAGGGCATCACCCAGGATAGAAGAGGAAAGACACTGAGGAAAGAGCCTCAAAGGACATGGCTGGGGAGACAAGTTGGGGAGACATGGAGAGATGTGGGAGTTGGCAGTGTACAGGATGAGGATGGGGGTGGGTTGGTAGCTGGAAGGACTAAGTCAGGTTGACGTCAGTCACTTGTGTGCCTCTGTTCTGGTTTCTCACAATGCCACCTACACTGAGACTATGGTTACCTATACAGTGTGTCTATACATTAATTAGCTTTAAAAAAAAATAAAGACTTGTATTTAAACAGGAAAAATGTAACAAAGGGAGAATTTAGGTAGGCCAATGTCTTTGTTTTATTGTATTTTTCTTGTACGTTTTAAAAAATTATTCATTTTTAATTGACAAAAATTGCATGTACTATGTTTATCACGTACAATAGAATGTTTTGAAATATGTATACATTGTGGAATGGCTAAATCAAGCTAATTAACATATGCCCTGTCTCACATACTTATCATTTTTTGTGGTGAAAACACTTAAAATAGCTCTTAGTGATTTTCAGGAATACAATATATGACCAGGTGTGGTGGCTCATGCCTGTTACCCCAGCACTTTGGGAGGCCAAAGCAGGAGGATCACTTGAGCCCAGGAATTCAAGACCAGCCTGGGAAACATAGCAAGACCTCATCTCTACAAAAAAAAAACTAAAAAAAAAAAAACGTAACCAGGCATGGTGGCGCATGCCTGCAGTATCAGCTACTCAGGAGGCTGAGGTGGAAGGATTGCCTGAGCCCAGGGTGTCGAGGCTACCTGAACTGTGATGGTGCCACTGCTCTCCAGTCTGGGTGACAAAGTGAGACTCAAAATAATAATAATAGCAACAAGATACAATACACTTTTATTAACCAGTCACCATGCTGTACAACAGATCTTTCAAACTTATTCTCCTTATCTAACTGAAATTCCATGTCCTCTAACCAATATTTCCACAAGTCCCCATTCCCCAATCCCTGCTAACCACCACTCCACTCTTTGCTTCCATGAGTTCGACTGTTTAGATTCCACATGTAGGTGAGATCTGGAGATATTCGTCTTTCTGTTCATGTAACTTAATATAATGTCCTTCAGGTTCATTCATGTTGTTGCACGTGGCAGGATTTCCTTCTTTTTAGAAGCTGAATAGTATTCCATTGTGTTTATAGATTGTATTTTCTTTACCCATTCATCTCTGGTTGGACACGGGTTGATTCCATATCTTGGTTATTATGAATTGTGCTGCGGTCACTTTGCCTCTTTTTTAAATCGGGTTATTTGTTTTCTTACTACTGAGTTGAGTTCCTTATAGATGTTGGACAGTTACTCTTTTTTGTTTGTTTGTTTTTGAGTTGGAGTCTCACTCTGTCGCCCAGACTGGAGTGCAGTGGCCGCTCCCGGCCACCGCAGCCTCGACCTGCTGGGCTCCGGCGATCCTTCCGCCTCAGCCTTCCGAGTAGCCGGAATTACAGGCGCGTGCTACCATGCCCGGCTGATTTTTTGATTTATTGTAGAGATCAGGTCTTGTTGCCCAGGCGGGTCTCGAACCCGCGGGCTCAGGCAATCCACTCACCTTAGCCTCCCAAAGGCACGGGATTACAGGCTGAGCCACCGAGCCCGGCTGACAGTTACTCTTTATCAGACGTGTGGTTTGCAAATATTTTCTCCCATTCCATCTGTTGTCTCTTCATGTTGCTTTCTTCCATGACTGTGCAGAAGCTTTTGAGTGTGATACAATTCCATTTGTCTATTTTTACTTTTATTGCCTGTGTTTTTGGGGTCATATCCAAAAAAATCGTTGCTCAGACCAATGTCATGAAGCTTTTCTCCTGTGTTTTCCTCTAGCAGTTTTACAGTTTCAGGTGTTAAGTCTTTAATCCATTTGAGTGGATGTTTGTATATGATGTGAGATAAGGGTCTACGTTCATTCTTCTATGTGTAAATTTCCAGTTGTCCCAGCATAGCTTATTGAAGAGGCTGTCACTACCCCTTGAGTGTGTTCTTGGCATCTTTGTTGAAAATCAATTGGCCGTAGATGCCTGGATTTATTTCTGGGTTCTCTATTCTGCTCTTTCTTTCTCTTATTTTGGTGATCTCCTATTTAGGGCAAGAGAGGATGTTATTCCATTTGTGGCTGACATAGAAATGTAGCAAGACATGGTGCTGGGGGCAGGGGGACTGATGTGTAGAAAATGGAACCATCTGAGTTGGCAGTGAGCAAATCTCAGACCTGGAGGGAGTAGCTGGGCCCTGGAGGAGAAATCCTGATACTGCAGTGGGGAGTCTGCTTGTGCTGCCCCAGATGACAAAACAAGAGGCAGGGAAACTGGGAGGGCCACACAGACCAAAACAGTCCCAGAGACTGAAAGAGACAGAATGAGTGCTGATGTCATGGGAGACAGAGAGATACAAAGAGACATGAAAGAGACAGAAAAGGGGAGCAGAGAGACAGGGGGACAAAGAGACACAGAGAGTTGGATATGCCAGACAGAGAATTCAAAAGGTGATATAGAGACAGAGAAAAGCAAAGGTATGGAGGGAGACAGACATGGAGAAAAGGAAAAGAGAGAGGGAGATGCCGGGATAGATGCAGAGACAAAAGTAAAAGCAACTGGGGCAGAAGGGGTAGGGGGAGAGGACAGAGAGAGACAGAGACAGAGGGAGACAGGGAGAAAGACAGAGAGAGACAGAGGAGAGAGCGGAACGAGAGAGAGGGAGAGAGAGACAGGGAAAGATAGAAGGAGAAGAGAGAAAGAGGAAAGGGTAGAGGGAGGGAGAAACAGGGAGGCAGAAAGAGGAGTGAAAGGGATAGCAAGAGGGAGACGGAAACAGAGATAGGGAGGGAGAGACAGAGATAGAGACAGAGAAGGAGGGGGTAGAGAGAGACAGAGAGGGGACAGAGTGGGGGAGAGGGAGGGAGGGAGAGGCAAAGAGCGAGCGAGAGTGGTAGGGAGAGGGTGGGTGCAGGTGAGGATGCCATCCCCCTTCATGGGGACTGGAGTTCCATCCACCCTGGACAGTGGCTGCTTGCCCTTGGGCTGCAGCAGTTTGTCCGGGGAGGCTGCCCATGCTGGAGGGGCCGGGATGTCCTAATTAGCCTGGAGCTGGCCAGAGCCTCATTAGCCAGGCAGAATGGGGCGGGTTCACCCCTCGGGGAAGCTCTGCATCCACCCATTCAGGTGACCGCCCTGGCAAGGCAGGCCCCGGGCTGTGGACTGGTGGTTTTCTCAAGCCCTGAGGCCCGCATTTGGGCAGGGCAGTGTCCTGACAGCACCAGCTGCCCTGGAAGCAGAGAAGGCTTTTCCTGGCTGGGGAGGAGTCAGGTCTGGGCTCTTCCTGGTGGTCAGGGTGAGCTTTGGTCCAGCCCTCCATCAGGGGATCGGGGGCCAAGTAAAGGAAACAGGCTGCCTCCTCTTTCCCCAGCCCCAAAGCAAGGGCCGGGCGGCTGGACTGACTGGATTCTGAGGCCCCCAGGTACCCCGCTAAGGCTCTGACACGTTTGCTGTCCACGTTTGCTGTTGTCTGGTCTTTCTTCACATTCTGTTCATTAGGCGAAACAGGGCCTCATTTCTGCATGGCGCTGCCTGTTGGGAAGGCCCCAAGGGCCCTGGGATGGTTCCTCTGTCCTAACATGACCCGCACGTCCTGACAGACGGGAATTCGCTGTCAGGGTTTAATTTCCTGGTTCTTAGTTTGCTTGAAACCCCTCAACAGCAACCAGTATCATAGCAGGGGAAAAAAGAGACAAAAAGATAGAGACAGATGGAGGAAAGGGAAGGAGAGACACGGAGAGACACAGAGGCCCTGAGACAGAGAAACTAGGAAAGGAGTCAGAAAAAAGGAAGAGAGGGAGGGAGGGGGGTAGAGGGAGAGAAAGTGTGTGTGTGTGTGTGTGTGTGTGTGTGTGTGTGGAGAGAGAGAGAGAGAGAGAGAGACTGGTAGAGAAGGGGGGAGAGAGACCAGTGTCAGCTGGTGTCTGACATAACCTCACGTTCCTGCCTCTACTCTCTTATACATCTTCTAAACACTTCAAGGCAAAAGTCCCAGTTGATGCCCATGTGCCTATTAATTTTTTTGAGCTGGTGTCTCACTCTGTCGCCCAGGTTAGACTGCAGCGGCATGCTCATGGCCACTGCAACCTCGACCTGCTGGGTTCAGGTGATTCTTCTGCCTCAGCCTTCCAAGTTGCTGGAATTATAGCCATGCGCCATCATGCCCAGCTAACTTTTCTTGATCTATTGTAGAGATGAGGACTCACCAGGTTGTCCAGGCTGGTCTTGAACCAATCCTCTCACCTCAGCTTCCCAAAGTGCTGGGATTATAGGCGTGAGCCACTGTGCCTGGCCAGCTTATGTGTCTTTTTAAAATTTTTATTTTAAAGATGTGGGTACAATTCAGGGTTAGGTATACAAATATTCATTATGCAGGTATGCTTGTTGATGAGGTGTGTCCCCTCACCCCTGGTAGTTTCCAACTACTGCCAATCCCTTTCTTACAGTATTATGATCATTGTTCAGGGTCTGTTTATTAGTGAGAAAATGGGGTACTCAGTTCTTTGTTTCTGTGACAGATCAGAATTATAGACTCTAAGTTCATCCAAGTTGCTGTGAAGTTCATGTTTATGTGTCTTTAACACTGACTAATCTCTTTTTTTCAACCAACAGGGAAACAGAAAATGGTTCAGGCTTAGAACTTTCTGAAGGAAACAGATTCTTGCTAGGATTTAGTTATCATCCACTTAGTATTTATTATGTCTGAGGTGACCTCCTATCAGTGGAAAGGATTGTTGCTTTTTCTTTAAAGACTGGGATGTTTTTTGTTGTTGTTTTTTTCGAGTTGGAGTCTCACTCTGTCACCCAGACTGGAGTGCACTGGCTGCTCCCAGCCACCGCAGCCTCAACCTGCTGGGCTCCAGCGATCCTTCTGCCTCAGCCTTCCCAGTAGCCGGAATTAC